GGCTGCTGCCTTGACCTGAGAAGACCTTGAGGAGAGAAAGAGAGAGAGGGAGAGAGAGAGGATCTTGTGAGGGGGAGCTTGTGAGGGGATTCACAAGGGTTGCTTCAAGGATTGCTCTACTTATCTTTTGTCTAGAGTTTCTCATCCGTGGAAGGTTCGGTAGAGGTAAGGAGTTTGCTTTTGGTTGAGGTTCTCTGCTAGCTTCAGGAGGAAGCAAAAGGAGGTAGGTTCTCTGCCTTGCCGGGGTGGCAAAAAGGAGGTTCTTGTGAGGGCTTCTCCGCCTAGCCGTGGGGGCTAAAGGAGAGTCACGTTTTGTAGTGCAATACTTGGAGGGTGCCTCCTAGGAGTGGACGTAGGTCGAGTCGACCGAACCACTATAAATTTCTGTGTTCTTTTTCTTGCTTCCGCACTTTTTAATTCTGTATTTATTTCTGTGGTGTGATTTGGTTTATGCAATTTTTATTCTTTGTGAAAAGAGTTTTTAAAATATCAATTCACCCCCCCCCCCTCTTGGTTAGCTTGGGACAAAGTTCATAGGGCTTAACATCCCGAACGAACTTTCAGTTTGTCCATACTCTTTTTTATTTCAAGGGGCTTAGCATTCTTAGCATCTGTAGAAAAATTGTTAATTAATTTTAAATTTTTCTCCCTTAATTTTAGCCTTATATGAGTATGGCCGCCTACAAAAAATTATATTAGCATCAAATCATCCCAAACCTGATAGTAATCTAATGCCCATCACATCAACTTCACAAATTACATAAAATTTACATATAAATAAACAATCACATTAATCAATTAATTGCAACCAGCATGTATTGAGAACCATAAAAAATTGGCACACAAGCAGTAGGAAAGTAAATATTGTCCTAGCCTAAATCTTAAGTTGGTTTTCCTAGCAAACCATCTAAAGTGTTTGTATCAAGTTGTGTGGTTTAGATATGTCCTTTGCTAGATAATTCTTAAAGTTGTCTAGTAATTTGATTTATTGAAGGCCAAGGGAATTTTTTTATTTAACTTTAATTATTTATGTTTTAATGCTACTTTTTAAGAAACTTTTAAGTGTTAAATGATTACTATCTTTGTTTACACCAAACCTTTGAAGTTTATTTCATCTTCCTTGGGGCTAAGTAAAAACCTCAAAGGCACGGGTTATCCAATAGTAATAAGTAGGGATTAATTGATTTAATTAGTTGGAGCATAATGTTTTATAATTTTTAATTAGATTGATTTATTACAGATTTTAAGGGTTGCATTGATATTTTTTGGAATTTTACTTAATCATTGAATTTTGAATTTTCTTTGAATTATTTAATTTATTTAATTAAAGGATAAGAAATGTAAGTTTTCTAAATTAAGCTGAATTATGAAAATTTGATAATTTTTATAAATACTAGATCACATGGTGAGTAATTAGACACTAAGTTTACTTGATTTAGATTTTCAAGATTAAGTTTTGAATTTTTTATGTTTTAACATGTTTTGAACTACAATTGATTAAAAAGTTAACATTTTTATATTGACTGATTTCTTATGGTTTAACATTTTTAATTAATCCCCCAATTTTTTGTTGTATTTTTCAAATTTCTTTTGAATCATCCCGTTGGCAGGTTTCTCGCGGGGGATGGAAGATAGCCGTCCGGTCACCTCCGTTGACCAGAATGTTCCTCCATGGAAGGTTGTAGATTCTACTACTGCCAATAAAGCTTTGTTGGAGAAGTCATCGAGAAGAAGCAATCCATCTTTGGTGATCCGAGAACCAATCTTGGAGAAGGCTGTGGTGGTTTCACCGGTGCTGGGAAAAGGAAAACAAGTCATGACTGAAGAAGAAAGGAAATCTCCTCATCTTAATGAAGGTTCATCGTCATCATGGAGAAATTTAATTGTTAGCAGATTCACCAGTTTGAAGCACATACCTGTTATGAAAGATGATCATTTGTCTGATAAGGCTTAAACTTGCAATCAAATTGTTTGTGAAAAAGCGGCAATAGATGGAAGTCAAATTATCCCTATAACAGAAGGCAACGCCAGCGATTTATCATCTGGGCAAGAACGATTGAATCCATGGATTAAATTTCCATATGTTAAATTCAATCTTCTGACCTGTGGATCTTTTATGATGAAAGACGGAGCATCTATCAAATTATTTGAGCCCAATATTAAAACGAATTCAAAGAAGCTTCAATTATCTATAGTTTTTTTTTTTTTTTACAAAATGCAGATAGCATTAAAGAAGAGAAAAGTGTAAATACAAACTACACATGTGATAGAAACCTATCTCTATCCTCCTTTAAAAAATCAAAAAATAAAGGAGGAACCTTATTGCAATCTAACACATCCCAAAAAAAATCACCTTCTAAAGCATAGTCAGCACAAAAATTTTCCAACTTATTACAATTTCTTTTAACAAAGTGAAAAATAATCTTACCAAACCCTTCTAAGAATGAAAGGTCCTCCAAACCTTCACTGTGAACCTTCCGGAAGTTCCCATCCAGCTCCTTGTTCAAGTAGTTGATAATATTGAGATTATCACTCTCAATAATAATGCCATTCGCCTCTAACATCCACTCCATGATTACCATCTTCAAAGAACAGAATGATAATAACTCCAAGAAGCCACAATCCTAATGAATACTAGAAAATCTGAAGGCAAGTAAGAACCTCCCTTTGGAATCTCTAAAAGTTCCACTAACCCCTCCTTTGTTGTTTCTAGTAAGAGCAGCGTCAATGTTCACCTTAATCCATCCTGGGTAGGAGGGTGCCAAAAACAAAACAACTGGTCCAGCCGATTAGCACCCCAGTGATCCAAGAATAGATTAAAATTTGTATTAGAAGCATAACTAATAGCATTAGCCGCTATATAGTTTAAGCTAAGCTCTTGGTTGCCATGCTTAACCAAATTCTGACTTTTCCAAGACCAATAGATCATAGAACAATAAACCTTTGCAATGAACAAGTTATCAAAAGCTAAACATTCCAGTTTAGCTTTACATTCCCTGGATGAAGAGAATCCTGGAATCGGTAATCCCCAGTTATTCAATAACCCAGAAATTTGCTGAACTTTCAAACAACCAACCATCACATGATCTGCATTCTCTTCATCTGCACATCCCCTAGGACAGGAATTATGCCCAAGCAGTCTATAGTACATAAAAAAATAATTAGTGGGTAAGGCATTGTTAAATAGTCTCCACCAAAAGCATTCCACTCTAGAGTTCAGTTTTAACTTTTTTAACCACTTCACATAATCTACCTCCATACTTTCCTCTTTATTGAAAGACAAAGCCAGAGCTGTAATACTTTTCCCAGAAAATTTATATGCCAATTCCAATTCATCCTAACCCATCGCAGGGTAAATTGGAATTTGGGAGATAAGTTCCACCAGAGATTCCGCAAAGAAATCCAAAAGAATAACCTTATTCCAAACACCATTGGAAATGAAAAATGCAAGGCGAGGAAAGTCAAAGTTACCCACCGCAATAAAAGTATGCCATTTACATATCCTCCTATCAAGGATCCAAGCATCATCCATGATATTAATTGCTCTACCAGAAGCAATCTTCCACCTAGTAATATTATGCAAAAACTGAGCTCCACTAGATAGGATTTTAAAAGAAATCGAGCTATTATACTTACAGGAAGAATTCCATATTTCCATACCGTATTTGGCTCTTAGAGAATTGTTCAGCAAGGAATCATCATTTTTCATCAACCTCTAAGTCATTCTAGACCTTAGAGGACCAGCAATGTTGATCATTGAGCTAACACCTTGACCTCCTTCCTTCCAGCTTTTACAAAGGTTGTCCCAAGCTACATAGTGTAAACCATGCAAACCACCTTGCTTATCCCAAATAAAACTTCTACAAGCTTTATCCAACTCCTTCAAGATACTCATTGAAACCAATGAGTGAGTAGCAAAAAAAACCGGAAGAGCAGCCAACACAGATTTGATCAATACTAGCCTCCCTGCAAGAGAAATAGATTGCCTACGCCAAATGTTTATCTTGATAGCAGATTTTTCTAGGAAAAAGTTGAAATCAGAAGCCACAATCCTCCTAAGAGCCATCTTGATCCCAAGATAATTGAATTCTTTAACAGATTTTTAATTCCAAATCTTAGTTATAGCCTTCCTTTTGTTGTTCTTCACAGATTTACCATACATAATCACAGATTTCTGTTCATTAACTTTCTGACCCGTTTCGGTTTCCAAAATCTAAAATATTCTTCTTATACTTCTTCATACTTTTAACAGAAGCTTCAGAAAATAGAAGGATGTCATCGGCATACAAAAGGTGGGATATCCTTGGAGCATTTTTAAAAATTTTAATGCCCAAATTATTACCTCTAAAAGATAAATCATCAGTCAAAACTTAAGAGCAGAGGATAAATAGATAAGGAGAGATAGGGCATCCTTTTCTAAATCCTCTTTTAGCTTTGATACTATCAGTAATCTCACCGTTCACCAAAATAGAAAATTCAAGATTCTCCACACATTCCATGAGGAGAGTACTAAATTTTCTTGGAAACCCATAACGATCCAAAACCATCCTTAAAGAATCCCAAGCCATACTGTCATAGTCTTTCTCCATATCAATTTTGAGAGCCACCAACCGTTTCGTAGCCTTCGAGAATCTTAGTTTATTGCAAAGCTCATGAGCTAATAAAATATGAGAAGATATAGATCTTCCCTTAATAAAAGCAGCCTGAACATCTGAAATGAGCCCATTAATCACTCTCAATAGCCTATTCATCAGCATTTTGGCTATTAACTTGTATAAGGTACAACAAAAGCTAATAGGTCGAAAATTGGTCGGGTTAACTGGATTAGGAATTTTCGGAATAAGTATTAACAGTGCTTCTTTCCATGCCAAACAAATCTTCCCTGTTTGGAAAAATTGTTTAGCAGCCATCCACACTTCATCACCTGAAATATTCCAATAGTTTTTGAAAAACGAATAAGTAGTCCCGTCCATCCTAGGAGAAATATTCCTACTGCAATTCTAAACTTCCATATCTAGTTCAGACTTAGTGAAATTGGTCTGTAGCATCAATACCTCTGCCTCAGATAAAATTTTCGAACTTGGTGGCCATCCCTCCAATTGACAGTTCTGTCTTCTCCATTTATTCTTAAAAAATTCAAGAAAAATTCTTTTAATCTCAACCTGATCTTCAACAAGAACTCCATCATCATTTTTTAGCTGACGAATAGTATTGCCCGACCTCCTGCCATTAGCAATAGAGTGGAAGAAGTTGGAATTCATGTCCATCTTCTGGATCCACTTAACCTTCACTCTTTGTCTCCACCATGTGTTGATTCTTGTCAATGTCACATTAAAAACATAGACTTTAGATCTTAACATCATCAGCTTTTCAATGGACAACACCATGTCAGAAGATTCTTCAAGCTGTAGGATGGCAATCTTCTTCTTCAATGTTTCTTTAAGCTCCATAAAGTTTTTAAGTTTTTCCTTGCTCCAGTGATAAAGAGCCTTCAACACTCTTTTACATTTTACATTAATAACTTCCATAGCATCACCTCTAGCCGTTTTACTACAGGTCTTCTTAACAATAGCTTGAGAAGCTAGATAAGAGGCCCACACCTCCTCATATCTAACCAACCTGTTATGTTTAGGCAGAACATTAAAATTTTTTAGAACAATCGGGCAATGGTCCGAAGCGATTCTCTCCAAGTGTCTCACCGTAGTGTTATGAATGACCTCCAATGCTCTAATGTTAAGGAGGCACCTGTCAAGCCTCTCAAGGATACGGGTATTCCCTGTTTTATTATTACACCACGTGAATTTTGGTCCAACCAAACCCACATCATGAAGATCCATCTTTGTCATGAAATTAGACATTTCTTGAGGTCCATGGAAGAACGAGAATTTCTTCCCTCCCCTCTTCTCACTCTGTGTTAGAATACAGTTAAAATCACCTCCAACTACCATAGGTATGTCCATACCCCCATACTCTTCTAGTTGGTCCCACAACCTCCTCCTTTCATGAAAGCTTTTGTTGCCATAAACTGTCGCAATCAACCAAATACCTTTGTTAAAAATGTCAAGACTCCCAACCACACATTGGGAAGAAGACCGAGCCAAGGTAAATTTAGCTAATTTAGCCTTCCACAAAATCATAATACCTCCCGAGGCACCATCAGAGGGATGTAAGAAGAAATCACACTCATCACCCAAAAATTGATTAATCTCAACTTTATCTAAAGAAGAGATTTTAGTTTCTACAATGCCAACAAAAAACACATCCCAGTTTTTAACAAAGTCCTTCAAGTAAAGATAAGCCTCTCTCTTATTGGCACCTCTACAATTCAAAAATGCTAAAGAGGTCATTTTGGACAAGACGTCGGAGGAAACCCACTCTTCCCTTTATTAGAACCTTCAGATTTTTTCCTAGAAGAATTGTTCAAAGGCCCCAAGGTGCCTCAACTCTTTTGAAAGTTTCAGTTTATGAATCCCATAATTAGTTTTCTCCAAGCATAATTTCCTCAAATCTTGAGGGATTTCTTCAATTAATAAGTCAGAATTTGGATGAAATTCATTACAAGCAGCAGTTTCTGACCCAATTTCCCCTTCTTCTAAACCATCTTCCACAATAGCCAAATCTGATTCTTTCTCTTCAACATTATCCTTCAGCATTTCAAAACTATTCAGATGGACTGGAAAAGCCTCAGAAACCGAAGTAGTAGACACAATTATAGCAGCATTATCACTATCTTTGAGTTCCCCTGCTTTACAAATTTCCTCTTGCAACCCCTCTATCATTGTAAAACCGAATACTGCAACATCAGCAACCTCTTCTATTGACTTACCAATAGTAACAGGTAAATCTTCACAGTTAAACTTCTTCGCAATCCAATCTCACTTCTATCCCTTATTAATCTCCACCTTATTATTTTTAGGAATAAAATTCATCCTCCTTCTGTTCTGCTTAACATGGATCCACGACCTGTACTTTGAATTATCGTTCTGTTCATCAATCTCTGACAATTCAGAAATTCCTTCTTCAACCACTAGAGCAACATCCTTAACATGAGGGCTTCCCTTCTCCTTGCAACCAATTAACAGGTGGCCAATTCTACCACAATTGAAGCAAAATTTTGAGATTTTTTCATATTCCACTTTTTGAAAGAACCTCCCTTCCGGTCCATCCACCCAAACACCCATAGGAAGTTGCTTGTCTAAATCCAGACGAACACAAACTCTCGCAAACTCTCTTCTTCTCCACTGAAACATATCACCATCTATAAGTAAAGGTGGGCCAATCAACGAAGCAATCCTGGCAACATTAATCTCATCCCAACAAAGTAGAGGTAGATGTGGCAGTCTAACCCAAACCGGGGAAGTTAAACCCTTCAAAGATGTAGTAGAAAATTTAGCACTCCATTTATCCAATCCAATAATGTGTCCATTGACAAACCATGGACCTCCAGAAATCACCTTCTCCATAACTTCTCCCGAGAAAATAGAACATAGAACCCATCCTGATCCAAGGATCGTTAAGTGAAACTTTCTAAATTGAGACCACTGGCGTCTTAATTCCATAGCTATAACTTGTACAAGAATTTCCTTACTGAAGACTTTGACAACAATTGAATTCTGGAGCTTTTCAGAATTCTAATTAATTTTTTATTCAAACAACTTAATAGCTTTTCCATCTTCGGACAAAATCAATTCACCTTTTGGCATTTCCACCTTGATAAAAGGACGTTTAGTCCAAGGATTCCGCACTGGATCAATCTTTCATGAATTCAAATTTGCAGATAACGTTTGGACATTCTCACGAATATCCAATGAGCATTTCACACCATCTTGGACTGAAGGGCCTTCCTTAGCGACATTCCAAAATCTGTTGACGATGATCTTCATCCCTGAAGATCATGAATACAATTTTTCCTACAAGAATCTTGAATAAAAGATGGAGATTCCAAATTCAACTCGTGTGCAACTTGTTTACCTTTACCAGGTACCGGAGTCACAACCTTCTTCAGTTCAGCTATAGGCTCTTTGATAACCAAAGCTCCATTATTATGAGTTCTAGGAAATTCGTCAAGAATTCCAAGGACCGATCCAAGAAGGGGTGAAGCAGGCCTCCCATTAGGATCAACCATTCCCCGGCTACCAGAGAAGGAAGACAAATGGCTGATCAAACAGCTCCGGCGAAGCCGCCAATCAACCCGAAATTCAAATTTTCTTGAAAACAGAGTTTTCTCTCTCTAGAAAAATCGGGACTCTCTCTCTCTATAAAACCAACATGAAACTAAAAATTTATGAGTAAAAGCACACTTGACATTCTTCTATAGTTGTGAAGGTATTTGGGAAGCGAATTCCTGTGTATATGGTAGTGGCTGAGCTGAGATGTCAGTGGACAAAGTATGGTAAATTTCATTTAACAAGCCTTGGATCTGACTGGGTTCTAAGTTCATTCTTCTCTAAGGAGTCCATGAAGAATGTTCTATCAGGAGGGCCATGGTTTTTCAATGGGCACATAGTTAACCTTGATAAGTGGAGCTCAGATTTTAATCCTAACTCACTCAAAGGGTTGTCTTCTCCAATTTCGATTAGGATGCTGAGCTTGCCATTGTACTGTTGGGATAAAATCAATGTCTCAAGGATAGTGTCGTATATTGGTGAGCCTATTTTGATTGATGGGAATATGTTCCAATGGGGGAGGAGAGAATTTGCCAGGGTCTGTGTCTGAATCCAACTAGATCGACAATTGCCTACTGATCTTTGGGTGGAAGGAGTTAATGGTAGATTTTTTCAAAAAGTGGAATATGAGAAAATTTCTAAATTTTGTTTTAATTGTGGACATATTGGCCATTTGAAGGAAGCTTGCAATGTTGTTGAGAAGAAAGAAGGGTCAGTCGAGACTACTGGACTGCCTAATAGAAGTATTCCAGAACAAGCCGTTAGCACCATGACAATTCATGATAAAGACTCTTGGTCTTTAGTCAATAACAGAAGGAATAAAAAGAAGCCATTCTGAATGCAAAAATTCATTCCTAATGGTAGTGGAGCACTGAAATCTGTTGATGGGGAGCATTCTAATATTGCAAGGAATAATGGAAGTTTATTAACAAATCTGGAATGCGGGAATAATAATTCAGAGAAACTTGTTCAGGGAAATCTGGCAAAAGTTAGTACAAATTTGCTGGATGTTACTAGCAAACCTGTTGAAATTCGAATTCAGTTGAAAGTGCGGTGGATTCTATCGAAGCTGAGGTGGATGGGAATTTCTAAGCCAAGAATTTGGCAGAACAAAGAATTCCTGAGGGAAATTTGGAGGTTGATTCAAACAAGGTGGCCTTATTTGCTTCTAATAACAAATTTGAATTGCTAAACTCCTTATGTGAGGGAGGCAATGATGTTGAAATTCAGGTTGATTCAATTGAAGAGGAAGTGGAAGAAGGTGAAGTAGTGGAAAATATGGAGATCTGTCATCACAATGACACAGTTGTAGCTGCTCAGGGTAGCATAGAGGGGATTTCTGATAATCCTGAGGAGAAATTTGACCTGAGTAATGGGAAGGGTTCTTCTCATAAAATTAAACTTGCTAAGGAATTGAGATACTTGTGCTCATTAAATATGGCTTCTAGGCAAACTAAAATCAACATGAACAAGAGAAGGGGTGGGGGTTCATCCCCATTCTTATCCAAATGTCTTCTATTAGCTTTTGGAATTGTATGGGGGCTAATAAGAAGGAGGCCTCCTTATATTTGAAGGAGTATATTAGAGATTGGAATGTCTTTTTTGTAGGTATTGTGGAAATAGAGATTTCTTCTCTTTCTAAAGAAGAATTTGGAAAATTGATGGGTGAGAAATGGGATTATTTTCTACAGCCATCAAGAGGTAATTCTAGAGGAATTCTAGTTATCTGGAAAACTAAAGTAGCTTTTTTTTCCTTGATAAAGACATTGGATCAATGTGTGATGGGGGAACTGAAAGTTTTCAACAAGAGTAATTGGATAATAGCTACTATTTATGGTAGTAGAGAGACTCAAGGCAGAAGAGATTTATGGAATTTTTTGGATGGAAACTTTAACCAGGAAATTCCATCTGTGGCAGGAGGTGATTTCAACTGCATTCTTTCACAAGATGAGAAGAAAAGTGGAAAGAAATTTTCTTTCTCACAGGGGCCATTTGAAATGAAGGCTTTTATGAATAGGAATGACCTACATGATGTGGGTATTCTTTGTTCTAAGTTCACATGGTGCAATAACAAAAGTGGAAGTGCCCGAATTTTGGAAAGGCTGGATAGGTGCATGCTGAGTTCGAAAGCTTTGGAAATAATTAACCAAGCATCAATAAGGCATTTGAATAGAATTTCATCTGACCATTGTCCCATTGTTTTCAAATTATTTGATCAATAATTTCAAAGTACCAGACTTCGGAAGTTTGAAGATGTATGGTTGTCTTATTCAGCTGCAGCAACTGTGGTCAGGAATTCTTGGACAAAACCAGTGAGGGGTGATGATATGGAAGCTCTAAATAAGAAATTTTCAAGAGTACTTAAAGCCTTGTTTTTTTGGAGCAAGGCTAAACATCATAATCTAGAAGAATTAAAGGAGAATTTGAAGATGGAGATTAAAGGATTGCAGCTGGAAGAAGCTTCAGAATAGCCATTTCCGGATAACAAAGCTCTGCTTCTTAGAACCAAAATCAAATAATTTAATTCCACACTTGCACGATTGAACACATGGTGGAGACAAAGGGCTAAAGCAAGTGGATTAAAGAAGGTGATTCGAATTCTTCTTTTTTTTCATGCTTTTGCTAATGGTAGAAGTAATAGCAATTCAATCAAGCAACTGAAGATTGAAGATGGTGAGCTGGTTGAAGATCCGGTTATTATTAGGAGCAAATTTCTTCAGTTTTTCTGTAGCAAGTGGAAATACAGGGAATGTCATTTGGAAAATTGGCCTCCTAATGGGAAAATCCTAAAGTAAGAAGATTGTGAAATCCTGGAAACTGATTTTTCCTTTGAAGAAGTTGAGAAGGTGATTAGAGAACTTGGCAACAACATTTCTCCTGGAATGGATGGAATAACATATTCCTTTTTCAAAGCATATTGGAAGATCATTGGGATGGATGTGTAGAAATCTATTCAACTTTTCTTTACTTTGGGTAAAATGTCTTCCTTTTGGAAGGAGACATTGGTGGTATTTATACCCAAAGTAATCCTCTATCTCTCTCAAATTTTAGGCCTATTAGCCTATGCATGTCAATTTACAAGATTGTGGCTAAAGTGCTGTTAAATAGATTGATGAATGTAATTTATTACTTAGTAACTGAGGATCAAGTGGCTTTAATAAAAGGGAGGTCCTTATCTGAGC